CGGAATGATACTTCCACTCAGTAATTAAATTCAACACACGATATACAACTTTTCACGTAAAATTGAAAACACAAGAGAGTGAGAAACATAAAAACTACCATGAAATTGAGAGTTTAAACGCGTAAGAGGTGAATTTTGAGTGTTTCGACAGTTTCTTTTCCACAAAACCCTCAAAGAGCAATGAGAGTCTGAAAAAGTAACCACAAATTTAATCTGAAAATTTGGGGGAAAGTAAGGTGGTGAGTAGTGACTATGGAGAAGGGTTTAATGTTCGTCTCATATTTTATAACAAAAAAATGGTAAATCTTACTACAGTTATTTTAACTACGGTTACCATCTACAGATGGAATTCTTGTGCACCCTGTTTCTCTTACTCGTAAGAAATATTCAGTAATATTTATAAATTTAAAATATTATTAAATAATAATTATAAATTTAAAATATAGAATCGATATGTAACATAATTTACCTATATTAGTTTATTGAAATTGTTTTATGAAATTTAAATTATGCAAAATTACATAAAACATATATGTTTAAAATTAGTACACAACTCGCGCAGTGTACGTAACTGACAATAAATTATATTCATTTCAAAATAAGTGACATTTTAAAAATTTTATTCAAAAATTTGAATGAACTGCAATGTGATTCTATCAAATAACTATTTTGGTAAAATTTATCATATATTTAAAAATCTATGCAAATAATAAGTATAATTATAAAACTTATATTGTTTCATTAATTAAAATGAATTTATTTTTGTATAAACTATAAGTCAAAAAATTTAAGAAGCTGAGTAATTTAATAAACTTTAAATAATTTGCTATTCCGTTTACGTCAAAGTTAATATTGACCCGTAAGTTATTAATAATTACTTTTAAATTTGGAACTCAAATTTGGACTACATAATAAATACTCTTATATATTTCACACACACACACATACTGATGTAGGGAAACGTACGAATGGGAAAGATAAACGAGAGACTCTCTCGATAAAACTCACAATCAATTCATATTTTCATTCAAAATCAATTCTGCTAATAACAAAACACAAGAGCCCTTTAAATAAGACTTTTAAACTAAACCCTAGCTTATTCTCCAAGCTAACTAATAATAATAATATAATAATCATAATCATAATTATTCTGCATCATTCTCCCCCTGTTGAGCAGGATTCGCCCTCGAATCCGACACGTTCCCGTTGGAGACGTCCCCATGATAGGAATAGCCCGGGCGTTTCCCCCGATCGAACACGAAGGTTGAAGGTCGCCAACAACCCCAAAGGTAAACATAATCTTGGACAAGTATTGATCTACCGGAAAGGCACATGTACACGCCTCCATACGTATAACCCCACACAACTGAATTAACACAAAACATACCATATCGTTTGTCGCGCTCAAAACCATAACTACGGCTAAGCATCCCGTTGTTGGGAGACTTCGCGATAGACAATCGAAAAATGGCCCCCCAGTTATTGTGCCTCGGCTTCGGCTCCGAAAAACCATCATTGGCCAAGATACTCCAAACATCGGGTTTGATCGACGGCATCCCCGTCAAAGGCTCAACTTCTGCGACGTCCCACGTGGGACCCATATTGCCGCAAAAATATGCCTCCGTCACCGGAGGCTCCTCATCGAAAATAGGCGGACGGTCGTACAAGAGCCCGCCATCTTCCTCAAAAATCGCACCCTGTTGCCGCACATCTTGGCCGTCGTGCGCAGCAACGAACTTAGTCTCGACGGGCAGAGGCGGCTATTCTCCGAAGGGATCCACCTCCGAGATCTCCTCGCCGTCTGCATCGCCGGGTGGCGGTTGTGGAGATCGCCGACAGGGCACCCCGTCCGGACCACGACCTCTACTTCCTCTGTGAACTCCCCCGCGCACACCCCGGTCGCCGGCGACACGGTTCATCTGCAAATCCCAGGCCACGTTGTTAAGCGTCAAACGCAAATCCTCGATTCCCGTCGAAAGATCTGCAAACCAATCCGTGAAACGCACGTCCAACCATTGAAATCGGTAGTCGTTCTGTTAAAACATATCGTTGAAGGTCGCATCACGTCGTTTGTTTGCGGCATCTTGTCGTCCCGGCGACATAGCGAATCGTACTGACTGCTGATACCAACCGATGTAGGGATACGTACGAATGGGAAAGATAAACGAGATACTCTCTCGATAAAACTCGCAATCAATTCATAGTTTCATTCAAAATCAACTCTCCTAATAACAAAGCACAAGAGCCCTTTAAATAAGACTCTTAAACTAAACCCTAGCTTATTCTTCAAGCTAACTAATAATTTAATATAATAATAATAATAATAATATATATATATATATATATATATATATTTGTACCTCACAATTTTCTAGATTTCTTGTCGGTTACCTTATATGGCAAACCTTTATATATGTGTATATATATGTATAAGGTCGCCCTCCGATGAGCATGTTACTCAATAAAAGAAATAAAAATAATTCTTAGCCTCACATCTGACAATCTAACGGCTGATAAAAATGTTAGAATTATACCTTCATTAAGGGTATTCAGATATTTTTATATCTGCTAGTGGACCTCACCAGACCCACCAGCAAGTGGGGTCCCACAACACAGTACTCATCCAACTCCCACAGCCCACACACACATCCACCAGAGCAGGCCCCACCCTCTCTCACCAACCCCCACGTCACCCTCTATCTCTCTCTCTCACACACACACAAACACACACAACACACACACACAGTGCACACAATCCCACCGGAGACCAATCACCGCCGCTAGTCATCCTCCATACTATCCTCAGCCGGCCCCGCCCTCATTCTGTTGGGTTCTATTAGTAACGACAACAACATGCACGTTTGAATTTTGGAAAAATAAACCCTAACGCAGTGGAATCTATAGTTAGGGTTAGGACATTACCGTTTAAAATTTTTTTGCCGACTCAGAGACGTTTCTGATTTTCTTTAATGGAGATCGTCTGATTACCACAACCCAATCGGTTGAAGGGTTTGGCCTTTGTCGACTCTAGTCGAGTGTTGAATCATGAACGGATCACCGGATCGGGCTCGTCTGGCTTGGGCCGGTCGGATCGGGTTCGATTCGATCGGGACTCGATTTGAACCGGTCGGATCTCGGGTCTGGTCACGCCTCGGTTGGATCGGACCGGCGCTGGCCGGATCTAGTCGCAGACGGGGCGCGGGTCACTTGTGCTGGTCGCGGACGGTGCGCGTCGGGTGGCTGGGACGTGCGGTCGCGGGACAGACGCGGATGGACGCTGTGTTCTCGAGCACGTGCGGTCGTGCGCTGCGGGACTCCTACGCCCGTGAGGACTAGGCGTGTGGACAGAGGCGTCGTGCGCATGCGGGTCGCACTGCGGCTTTCCTACGCCTGGGCGGACTGGCGATCAGGCATACTGGGTAAGTTAGGGACGCGACAAGCTCGGGTAGGCGGTGCACGTGAACAGGAACGGCGGCGCGGGGCTTGCGATACGTCGCTATTGGAGGCTTGCACGAGGCCTGGCGGCGTGCAGCTGCGGGCGATGGCTCGCGACTGTATGCGGCTGGGCTCGGGTGACTTCCGACGGCGGCAGAGTTTTCTGGCGGCTGTCGGCGACGGCGCAGGGCGGCGGTCGAAGGTGGAGGATGGCCGGAAAAATATGATCTTCAAGGTTTGATTTAAATCACCTTAGGATCTTCTAACGGATTACCTTAACACTAACTTCGACTAATCTTAGTGGTGCGATTAATCGAAACTTCGTAACTCTCGAATATGTGTATGCTTGATTTTTCTCTCTCTTGCAAGACCTTAAAATCAACCAAACAATAGTAGGAGAAGAGGTTGGGACATGGTGTATTTATAGGCTCCACTGGGGACCTTAAGGAGGTGCCAAATATGGGCTTATCCCATTAGGCTAAGTAATCTTAATTCCACTCCATATACTAATCCCAACTAGGTCATGATTCCTTCCTCCTAACATCACCTTCTAGAAAACTCTTAAGTCTCCTAACCCTATGTAATATTTTAGAAGGAAATATTCCCCAACTTCTTGGAATATGAAATATGGAATAAAATTAATTCCTAAAATCCTAATAAAAATTAAATAATAATATATCTCACTAGAATATTATTATTGTTCTCCCCATTTGGCTCCAATTTATTCAATAAATCAAACTTCCAAATGATTAATTAATTAATTAATTAATCTTATTGACCGAATTACCTCCCCATGTTTAAGATATAACATCCGTCAATTAATTTAATTACTGACAATTAAATTAAATTGACTTCTTTATTTGCGAAATTAGTACCACTCAGTTCATTAATAATTATGCCGGATAATTAGCCACCTGCAGGATTTGACATAATATTCATTCCTAAGCTCATTTCGGGGACGTCATCAATCCAGCGCACTGGGACATAGTGACTGTAAATAATTTCTAACGGCACACTATATAAATATTCTTACTTACCACAATAGCGAGTATGTCATCCTAACAGAATAGAAATCACCCTTGCTAAATCAAATAAATAAGTAATAAATATATATGCCCATTTTACATTATCTTACAGCTTAAGAGAACGCATCATTAACTGAAGGTCTAGATTATAACAACAATCAGTAAATCTTATAATCTTATCCTTCTGCGGTCCGTTCAATACTTATCATAAGTACTAGTATAATCCATCAGTTAAAGATCAACTGAATCAAGACTATACTACAGTCGTTTTCCAATAGGAGTTTCACTGCCTGTCTAAACTGTTAACAATAAATTTATATTTTACAACGAATCGATAACATGATCTTTCTGTTCGACACGACGAACCATATTATCTATAGTGTAAAATAATGGAGTTATGATAGCATAAAAAAATAAACTGCAAACATAAATATTTTGACTAAAACACGATTGCCAGATCAAAATGGTATTATTAATATCTGAAAGCCAAGCTTTTACAGCATATCTAACACCTCCGGCGCCGAGCACAACGACTGTCGCCTCCGGCTGATATAGGAGCACCGAAATCAACAACCAGTGCTGCCCAGGACTTTCCGCCAATCCCGCCCAAGCTCAAAGATGATCGATTACGGCTCTAATCGATCAGTCGAATCCTAATCAATCGAGAAAACTTGAAATCACAGACCAATCGACACACCCCGTCTGCCCCGTCGAAAATCGAACTCGACATCTGACTCTTTGACTTTCACTTATCATACTCCGGCGGATAGTCTCGACGGCAGCATCTGGCGACTGCTATAGGTGCGCGGCGGTATCGTGATTCTGGATCCGAGAATATGAATTTTGGGTTGGGTGATTGTTTAAGAGTTTGATAATTCATAGGGACCCAATCACAATTTTGTAAATTTTAATTTAGTAATGTTGGCATCTATGAGGATTTCAATAATATGCAAGTAACGAACTATCTACGAATCAAACCATAAGCGCAGCGGAACTCGAAGCGAGGGTTCAACACGTACCTTTTTTAATTTTTCCGACTCATCGGATCGTTCACCAATTACATTGAACCGTCCCGGACTTGTCGTGAACCCACCGACACTTCCCGAACTAGCTGGACCGCTCCCGAACCACTGCTGGACCGCCTGGGTCAGTCTGGGCTGTTTGGATGCGTCCTGGGCCAGTTGGAAGTGAGCTGGGCCGCTGGTGGCACGATCTGGGCTGGCTGGGACAATGTGGGCCGCGCTGGAAAGAGGTTTGGGCCGGGAGCACACTGGGCCGTGCCTTTGGTAGCAGTTGGGCCGCTTAGGTGGGCTGGAGCAGCGCGGGCCTCGCGGGCTGAGGCTGTGAAGAGAACGGGTGCACGGGCCGCGCGGCCCGCGCATTAGATATGCTCCGCTGACAACCGAATACACATTTAATATATTTTATTCGGAAATATATTTTTCAATCCATGTAATACACATTTAAAAAATTCGATCATTAAGTTTTTTTCAAAAGAAGTTTGAATCGCTTATTTCAGTTTTCAAAAGTTCGACCGACGAACAGTATTATACATATCATAATTTATTTGAACATTTAATGTGCATATACACATGCTATATTGTGCATTATACTGAATATTATTGTGCATTATTAATTAAATTATAAATTTTACCCATAAATTAAAATTTCCAAAATTGCAACTAAATCCTTGGGATTTTTATTAAATCACCAATTTGCCTCACGTACTAAATTGAAATATGCTAACAGTTAATGAATTGCAATTAGACTCCTTAAACATATCAAATTTCTAACAAAAACCCCCAAACACTTCTGAAAAAACTGCAAAATCCATTCATAATTCTCAGCCCTCAAGCATATTTTCGACCGTCTTTTCCACCACTGCTGTCGTCGTCCTCGCCTCCGAAGATTAACCATCGACACCTTCATCCTGTGAAAATCGACGATGTAGCGGCAGCCGCCGCCGGCGGCAGAAATGGTGGGCGTTGTTGATAGCCGATAGTTGCGCACTAGACTATTTGCTGTACTCCGGCAGAAATGGTGGACTGTTTTGAGGAGATTCGGTAAGGTCCGGACGTTGGCCGTTTTTCTTTTTTGGCCCCGTGGCTGAGATTGATGTCGCCGGTGACTCCACGCATGGTTGTTGGCAATGGACGAACTGGATGTTATGGCGGGATGATGACGGAGGAGACATGGCCGACTGACCTGATAATGTGGCTCACAATGGTGGGGCTGAGAACGCGGCTGTGCGGTGACAGTGGCAGCTACATTCTGGGCTGGCAAAGGCGATGAACGACGACGGCGGCACACTCGTGGCAGCGGTGGGGTTGAGCACGCTGCTGACTTGCAGTGGTGGTGGGATTTGATAAGGCCGTGATGTGTGTGTGTGTATATGTGTGTGTGTGTATATGTGTGTGTGTGTTTGTGTTTGTGATATATGTGTGTGTGTGTGTGTGTGTGATATATGTGTGTGTGTAAGCGTGTGTGAGAGAGAGGGAGTATGGTTAGTTGAATTTGTGGTGGGCCCAAGGTGAATATATAATGTCTTAGGGTTTGAAGAGTTTCTAACGGGTGCGATTCCCCAGGTCGGCTAATAAATGGCATTTAAGACTAAAAGATAAGGTTGGACGTAATGACGAGACATCATTCTTGCACAAGTCCTTGCAACTCATTTAAGAACTTGGGGGAGGGGAGGGGGATTATTTGATATAGCACTCAGATTAACTCGGTGAACTGACTTGAGTGGTTAGCTCGAGCGTAGTCGGTTCGGGGGAGCCTCAGCTCGATGTAAGCACTTGACCTCGTCAGGGAGCTCGCTTCGGCAGCTCGAGGTACGGGTCGACCAACTTAGAAAATTGAGGGGTTGATCTCCTCTTGGAGCTCGGACAGAGAAGTGGATATTACGACCTTAATGTCGTACGGTAAAGGTCGTGGTTTCGGTCTGGCATGCATCCATGGTAGTTGGATCGTGATGTCGTTGGGAGGATAGAAGGACCTGAGAGTCGTGAAATAAAAGGGAATGAAATCCTTTAAAACATTATAAGTGTATCTCGTTAAGGAGTCTAAAATTTCAGAGACGTGCTAAGCTAGGAAAAATGATATAATTGGATCTCTTTTTTAGCAATGACTCTATTTGGAGAAGAAGATAACCTGGGTTACATGTTCTATTTTTTTCATGATGCAAATGGTTACGCCTTTTGCATACCTTTTTCAGTATATTCGTTAGTGAGATTCTTACTTGAGCATCGGAGGTTTTCCACCAATTCTCCTCCCCGACCGACATGTTTTGCAGGTCACTGGAGCTCAAGGTGAAGAACCGTTTGTGATGTTACCAATCTGATCCGGTTCGAAGACAATTTGTGTATCAACACGTACATATTGTAATGATCACACACATTATAATCCAAAGATGAAAAAAAAATTAACTACATCACTTATTCACTTATCCACTGGTGAAAAACTCCTGGATTTCAATCCAAAGATGAAAAGGATCCAAAAGACCTTTTTTATACAATTAGATCTAACACATATATCTTATATGAAAAAAATCCACATTCAATCCAAAGATGAAAAGGATCCAAAAGACTTTTTTTTTTACAATTAGATCTAACACATACATATTATATGAAAAAAATCCACATGGATTTCAATCCAAAGATGAAAAGAATACAATTACATCAAACGCATACATATTATATACAAAAAATCCACATCGATTTCAATCCAAGCATCGAAGAAAAAAAAAACCCACCTGGACATTACCTTATGATGAAATTCACACCCACACAGACAGTATGTCAAGGTAACTATGTCGATGAATGACAGTCGCATCCAAGAATTGGAGCAAGCACGCTTCAAAGAATGCCAAAACATAAAACTAAAATTAAATTGTTAAGGGCAAATTCGAACTATTGATGGGGACCAGACATCAGCCTGCCCTTGCGTAAGAATTTGGCTCATCCAAAATTCTTTTACATTTAGTAACTGAATCAACAAAGGTAACATGACATACATTAACGGCTCACCAGAAAAACTCTAGTGTTACTCCTGTTTTTATTTCAACAATACACCACCCATTTAAATTAAACATTGAAAAAACGAAAAGAGAGAACATGGAACAACTTTATGACCATCAACCCAAACAAATACACATAAAATCGCAAAAACAAAGTAGAAGAAACAAATTAATAAATTAACAAATCACAACCTCTCATCTCCCAAATCGCGCATCAGCAATTGCAAAACGCCGCAAAATTCCACGTCCAAATATTCTTCAACCCTGGACGGTTTCAACAGCGTCTGCTTTAAAATTCTGACGGGCTTCCTCAGGCTCAACTTTTAAGGACTCATTGGCTTCCTTGGGATTGTTGAAGTTTTGTTTGTTGTTTTCATCAGTTTTGTTTGGTTCGGGATTGGGCTCAAGATTTTGATGACTTTCTATAGGACCCGCTTTGGCATGGTGGAACTTGACAACAATGCACGTGATATTGTCGGCACTGCCACGAGTGAAAGCCGTCTCAGTCAGTTTCCGTGCGGCACATTCTGGGTCGTCCTCTGTTTGTGCTATTGAAACAGCATCCTGAAAAATATTTTTTTTTTGTAGGGGTGTCAGTGTCTTACTACACGTGATTATCATTTTTGTTGTTCTATCTTTGCCGCTAGAGGGAGTGTTTTCGTTTGAGATTTTGAGCGACATTATCAAATTTTTTGAGATTTGAGACTTTTTAGAGTGTGTTTGGTAAGAACATAACTTAACTTATTTGGTTAGCTTATAAGCTTCCTGTATACAAATAAGCTTAGTTTGGTGGGACGAGCTTCTTCAAAAAGTTGGGGCTTATCTCATAAACTTCCTTGGATAGCTTTTCAAATAAGCCCGTTGAAATTTTTATTTCTGTTGGGCTTATCAACTAATTTTACCACATTTCTATCACATTGCTAGCTTTTCAACGATCAACCATAAATTAGCTCAAAATTCACTTATAAGGCATTACCTAACAGCTAGGTTTACCAAACATTTCCAGATTTATAAGGAATCCTATAAAATATCCGGACTGGTGGTGAGATTTGAAATAGAATTTTGTACATGGTTTTTCTATTGAAATCTCAACCTACCTTAGAAAATCCTAACAAATCTTAGTCTCAAATAAGTTCAATACCTCAAGATTTTGATAGACTTTTAAAAATATCAAATGAATACCTCGGGACTTTTAAAAGTATAAGATAAATAGACCATGATTTTAAAAATCTTAAAAGGTCTTTAGAAACAATTATTTTATTTCTACAAGTTTTATCTTATTTTCCAAAAATAAGAGGATGGAGCTTTTGAGCTATTAGGTGACAAATCGGAAGAAAGATTAGTCAAAAACTCCTGCAATTGCCTCCCAACAATCCCAGTTTGTGAAAGTATGAATTCAGGGTAAAATTTCATGATAATTTTATGAAGGTCAGAAACTGTTTCTGTAAGCTCTTCTTTACTTAAATCTTTAAACAAGGTGATGTGGAGGTTTGTGATAGTTGACTACCAAATCAATCAAATATTTATATTCAAAGGGAAGCAAAGAAACTAACGGGTTTTGATAGCTGATGAATGCGAAGAGTAATTTTACCTCATTAGGAACAACATCCCAAAGTCCATCACTTGCAAGCACAAGCAGTTCAAGGTTCTGGTCAACCTCCAGGTCCTATTAGCATTTACAGTGAAAACAGGCTTTAGCTAAAAGTACACGAGTATATGAATCAATTAAAACCAACTCATTACCATAATCACCAACCCAAGCAATAAATTTACCACAAACCATAACCAATTAATTTTATTAAGTTACCATGGCCAAACCAAACTTCTATAACTACAATTCAGGCTACCTGAATCTCAGGTTCAGCCACAACGAACTGTTTAAGCATGCGATTGCCGAAAGCACGAGACATGGCCAAGACACCCCCAACCCTCCAAGTACCTATACACGAAGTAACAAAAAAATAAAGCATATATAATAAATAAATAATGATATTTAATAGTTATAGAACGCCATTCCTGCTTCTGTATATATATGAGAATTTTGCGAAACAGGAATGTGTCACATGATAACTTTCATTAACAAGGATCAGGTGCTTATTTCCTTTACCATGCTGTGAACATCTCAGTCAAGAAAAAATGCCCACTCACATTAACCAAATGAATGAAATTAACAAATTATTAGGTCAATAATATCAGTTAGCCCATCATTAAGTCCATGACTCTTACGAAATAAAAACTGCTTCTCTGATCACGTGACACCATTTTGAAGTAGATAATGATCTCATCTTCTATTTGATATTCAATTTTAGCACAGTAATCACTCAATAAAAAAGGACACCGAACCTGCCCACATGACAACACCTCCAGCACTTTCAATTCTCTTTCTCTCATCACTTCGATTTGGTTTGTGATCTTCTGATAGTGGGATTGCTGTGCGGACAAAAGAATATGTAAGGTAAAGAAGAAAGTTCGTCAAAAGCACTTATAGCCTCACTTATTTATCAAAATATCAGAAATCTTGGACAATCATCACTCACAAGTTACAACAGGAATAGCAATTAAAGGAGGGACCATTGAGCAAGATTTTAAATGATGCCTGATTACTTATTATCTCATAAGCAAAAAACTGGTTCAACATCCCAATCCCTTAATTCCAAATTGATAATATGTTTTTTCAGGCAATCAGTTATCCACAACCAGTTAAGAGTAGATTAGTTGTCTGACATGAAATTTCCATACAAATATAAATATTATCCAAAATCAGAAAACATGATAAAAGGAATCCATCACTTTATTCAAATGCAAAATATATACTTTTGTTATGCCTACCTTTCCCGGCCTTTGATATAATAGTTCGAGAATCACCAACATTTGCAACATAAAGGTGATTCCCAACAAGAACTGCTGTTGAAGCTGTTGAGCCATCATCTCTAAAGGTTTCCTTTTCAGAATCCAAAAAGTCCCTGTCCGTTTGCTGATATGTTTCACCTGTTATCTTGCATTAGTCATCTGGGTGCAGTTCTAAAATACTGGAGGTGTTTATTGCATGGGAGAAGAAGGGAAAATGCGTAAAATCTGGGTGCATTGCTACACTACACTTATATAGCCAAAACACCCATTTATAGACAAAAAGAAACTAACCCCAACAATATCACCAGTATTTAGTAATTAAAAAAAAAAAAAGAAACTATTAATAGGGTTTTACACTCACTTATAGCCAATTTTGTGTTTGCAATAAATTGTGGGTGTTTCAGGAGATTCTCAAAGAGATGTTCCTTCAAATATTCGGCAGCACGAGCACCACCATGACCTGTCATGATGTACTGTCCAATTAGAAGAGCAATATTTTTTTTTTTCAATTCCCAGTTCCGATCATCAGAATGGCAAACAATCTAAGAAAAATATTTTTTTTAATGAAGAAAGACGAAAGATTTGACTTCTGACCAGCCAAATTATTTTTACTAGCCATGTTCAGTCTCATTTTGCATCAATCAGCATTCAATCTTATCTACTTCACAATTAATATAAAGATCCAAGAATATCACAGATTTATAAACAAGCAAACTCAATTTTGAAAAACCTTCATTTGTGGCCAAGTGAACCTGTGTCTACTTAACAATTGATTTGACCAAGCCAAACAATGTCCAAATGCAAATTGGTTGTGAGCTCATCATTCCAATTCTACTTCTTTTCTAGTAAGGTGAGCTTGGGGGGTGGGGGGAGAAGAAAGGACAAAGAGAAGAAAAGAGCTGACGGCTAACCATCAAATATGCCGAAGAGGCAGACTGACTGGCCATCTACCTTGGAAGACTTGATGTCATAAAAGTCCTCCATGCTAGCCCTCTTTCCTCTGAAGGTGGAATATCCACAACTTAACATTCCATCCTTGCTGCCAACCAGAAAATAGAATTTAACACGTTAGCCAATGATAATCCCATAAGAAACATATACATGCCGCATGAAATGGGCGACAATAATCTGCCCAGAAATTTCCAGATTTACACTAGATGAAACTAGCACGCCAGTTATCCAAGCGACTCCAGATAAGGCAAGAGCCACCACAAGAACCTCTTTGAGGTGCCGTTAATTTTATCCAACATTGAGCATGCAGCACAGAAGCAAAGGAAACATGGTGGGGAGAAGATAAGAACTATAGAGCGTGCAGAGATAATCAATTCCTACTACGTAATCTATTCATCACTCTCGAATAGTGCGACTCCTTCGCCATATTCTAAAGATAGGTACCATAATAGAGAAACATAATTTCTAAGACATGATACACAGGCCCAAGAAAGTAATAACAAATTTTGAAGTCGGAACTGTTTATCTAAGCATTAATATTTTGGAGAAAGGTCTGGGCAGGTAGAAGCAAAAAATTTAGCAAGCTATGCATAGATCAAGTAGAGGCCTATTGCGCGCACAACTAGAAATCCAAAAGATTAAATCTCATATCTAGTGCATTAATAATACACTGTGACACAGTGATTCAACCAGAAGTCCCACACACTAAATCTTCTTTCCGGCAATGAGGTTAAATCTTGCTTTATTATTTAACTAAAAAAACTAATCAAAAGCATTCATCACTCCTTCCCTATGGAATCAGAAATGAGATCAATGCTAGTGATCCAGAAGAAGGTATCCTCTATGAGCGAGTTACTAGGAATACTGTTAATGCACGAACGTGAGGGTGTGCATTTAATTCTTACGACACGTGTGGTCAATGACAGAAAAGCATTTAATTTAGACAAACAAGTGACCACATAAGCATATTCAGGTATGATCGTAATAAACAATCAACATAACTAACTTGTACGAGGCACATGCACTAACTTGTACGAGGCACATGTACCAACTTGTACAGGACATTGGAACTATAACAAAGAATCACAATCTTTTCTGGATTCTTCTGGAACTAACAAACCCAAGAATAAAACTGAAAACCTAACAAGAAACATACAACACATCCAAGATGAACTACCAAAAGTAAAAATAATCCTGCCCAGTACAAAATTCCTTAAAAGAAAAATGAAAAACCCTCAATAAGCAGTTACCTCTTCCATCCGCCACTAGCATAGCCTCCATAATCATGCTTCTCAGGTAAAATATCAAACATAGATCCTTCAGCAGAAGCATCACAATCCACCATCATCTTTCTTGTTTGTCCGAGCTTACAACCCCGCAAATAATTCAGGCTTCGAGTGGCATTCAAATCTCCAGTTATATAGCTAAAATATCTGACGTTGGTATACCGCCCAGTATATCCCGTCCAAAGATTTAGTGACCTCAAAAAACTGTTGCATAACATCTGATGGGGGGAAAAAATGGAAGGGAATAAACATCATTGCATCTACATCACATTTTCCAGGCAATAAGTATGAATTATTGATTTATTCCTGAAAACCTGAAATGATATTGTGACTGCCTAACAATGCTATTTTCTTACACAGAAAGCCATAAATCAGCATTATCTTCCATCGGATCCAACTAATACAGAATAAAAAAGGAAAAGATACATTTGCTTTCTGATTAATGCAATTCACTGGATGTTTAAGTCTTCAGCACCCAAAGTAGTCAATTGATTAACTTAACTTAATCTGAATCACCAGTCTGACATGTATAACAGCATATATTGATCTTCAAAGGCAAGCTTCCATTCAAACACGAAGTCCTTTGTTTTTTAATTATAAATCATAAGTCAGCTAGAAACTCATTTCCCATATCACCTACAGATTAATCCGACTAAAATAAAAAAATTACAATCACATACATAATAAAAATAAAAAGAAATGTATTAGTCTTTACGCTCAAAATAGCTGGCTGGCCGAGCAGCAAAAACACATCTGGAGGTGATTATCCACGGCCATTGTCAACGTAAAGTTTACAGCTTTTCTCGGATTAAAAAACAAATGTAAAAGGTATGTATCTGAATCGCAGCAAGAAGATCAACGTTCGAAATCCGGATCAAAGAGAAGATCGGAGGAGATCCGAATCCAGTTTATCCGAATAGAATCGGATTAACTTCTACCACAGATGGCAAATCATCAGGCCCGCAGAAAAGAACGAGAAAACGAAAATAAGAAGCAATCTAGAAACCTAGAGAGAGCGATGATCGGGAGCATACACCGCTACTATTGAGGAGCGGAGGAAAATGAAGTGTGTTTTTGTTGTGGAGTGGCCAAGCCAAGGGTAGAGAGAGAAAGAGTGACAAACTCTCCTCACCGAAGGAGAAGTGGCGACGTGGCGGTATAAAGGGTGTAAAGCAACAGCAAGGATTATATGTCGCATTCAATGAGCCATGTCAGATACTGTGGTAAAAGTCCTCGTATTCTATAATTTTTAAACATTTACAAAAATTATGAAAAATTATGATAGTGTGCATTATGATGTTTTTGTTGACACTGTACGAGTATGTATTATCTATAGAGTTAGATTATATGAGAATGATAGATAGTGAAAAAAAATAAAATTGAATCTGGACTATTGGATATATCATATTAATGGTAATGATCAAGTAAAATTTTATTAATGGTAGTCAAATATGTGATGACATTCTTGTAATTAAGTATACATATCATGGTCAAATATTTACATTTGACCACTCAGTTGGGTAAAACGGTCAATACACAAAAATACAACTCATCCACCAATGCAGTTGGCCCCACCCAATCCCACCCAACTCGGCATTCTCTCTCACTCACATTCCTCACGTACAACCTCTCGCATAAAACACACATTCCTCACGCAGCTTATGTACGCGGTCACCAGCCCGACACCCACCGTCGGCCTCTCTTCTCCGGCGAACACTGTAATACTTTTGAGCAATGTAATCTTTAGAAGCTTCTATGACTGAACTTCACTTCAAAACAGGTTACACCCGACGTTTATGGTCTGATACGAGTTCTCCAGTTGCCGTCAAGTTCCTGTCATCTCCTCAGCGACGACATCGGCTTACGAAACCCAAAATCGCAGATTCACCTAATTGTTAATTCCGGTTAAATCGGCGACGGGTTAGGTTTCAGGCCGCACCGGTAGGTTCGATTCGGTGCCATTAGCACGTATCCAGTGGTCGTGCGCCTGAATACTGCCGGAAGAATGGGCTGAACGGCAAGGATGAATTTGAGGGGATGAGGGACTTACTTTTGAGAATTGGATATGTACCATGGATTTATGTGCAAATTACGAAAATATAAATAGTTTGCAATTTAGTTCTTAGGTCAATTTTTGTAATTTATTAAGATTTTAATTAATGCACAAATATTAATAAGTAATTTGCACAATATTTATACAAAATTATTAAAAACTTAATAAAGACACAATATGGATAAGTATTTTTTTTTCTTAAAAAAAAAAAGCGATAGTGAACTAAAATAACTAAATGTTTAACAGTAAAAATAAATTGAACTGGCATATAAAGATTCGAACATAAAATTTTAGATCGACCAATTTCAATCGCTAATGTACAGTCTGAAAAATATTAATGTGCAACTCGTCCAATACTATTGTGCACGGTTTTGGTCGATATTGTGCAGTTGGAATCGATCGAATTTTACCCCAAACCAAATTGAAACAGAACCGCATTACTTGGTTTATTCGGCCCCTTAACCGAATTACTCTATATATTCAAAAGAATATATTTTTATATTAAAACATAATTAATAGTTTTTTTTTTTTTTTCCGAAACGATAGGGTAGCTATTATAACTCAAAAGCGAACAAGTTCGAATACATCGTACAGAAATATATCAACTGCATCAACTACACCGAAAATGAAAAACTGAGAGGCGCACAAATGAATGTAGCCTAGAGCCTCAATAAAAGAAAATCCGAGTCAAACTGACAAAGGAATAAAGATAACAATGATAAATTTCCCGCCACTGCTAAAAAGCCTAGCAAAGAAAATTACCCCTACGTAACAAACAAAATAAAAGAAGATCTATGAAGAAACCGCAGCTGAGGAGAAAGCCAACCAGTCAGAATGAGCAACTTGCAGCAATTTGAATTCTGGTATTAAAGATTTTTGAAAAATCCAAATGTTTCTCGATTTCCAAAGCCACCAAAGTATGTATGTAGACAATTGTATTCTAGCTTCGGCAACTTCAGAATGACCCACAGAACATATATTGTACCACCAAACCTTAAATGAATCAGTACAACTGTGCAATCCATCCCATTTCACAGAAGAAAAGTTCCAGGTTGTTTGTGCTCGAGGACAAGAAATAATATGTGTTCCACAGTTTCAACAGCCCCACAACAGATTACACATTTTGGATCAATATCAACCCTTCTTTTTCTCGAGTGTAAAGCAACTGGAAGTGTACCTGATAGACATTTCCACAGAAAATGTTTCAATTTCCCTGCTACTCTCAAGTTCCAGTGCCTGTACTGAATGGATTTGTTGAGAGATGCTTGGTAGCTGCATTCTGGGATATCTGCCTTGGAAAGCTTGATTTTGGAGAGATGTTCATATGTGCTTGCAACTGAGAAGGTCCCTTTTTTCTCCAACCCCCAGTACACTCTATCTTTTTTTCCAGGATGAAGGGATGATATTTTCAGAATGGCCTCACTGTCTAGAGCATCAAAAACTTGATTCACTAACCAATCATTCCATTGCTCTCCATTGCTTTGTAACAGTTCATGAACCCAAATCATATGGCCATTAGCTATTGGGATCAGAGTTGGTGAGGGCTTTTGCAAATTTGGAACCCAGTTGAAGTCTGAAATTCTAGTATCAGTCCCTGATCTTATTTCCACTTTCAACCATTTGGAAAAAGTTGGCATCATCTCCATCGAACTATTCCAAATCCAGGAGGCACTTTGTGTTCTTGAAGCTTGAGTGATGGATGTATGTGGGAAATATCTGTCTTTCAGAACCTTACTAACCAAAAGCTCAGGGTTTGAAGCAATCCTCCACAGTTGTCTACAAATCAAAGCTTGATTGAAAAGCTGCAAGTCATGGAAGCCCAAACCTCCTTGCATTTTGGGGAGTGAGATAAGATTCCATGATTTCCAATGTATTCCTTGTGTCTGCTGATCTCCAGAGCTCCACCAGAAGTGAGCACACAACTTAGAGATTTCAGAGCAAATTGCCTTTGGGATTTTGAAACAGGACATGGTGAAGACTGGCAAGGCTTGAATCACAGCCTTAATAAGGACTTCCTTTCCAGCAGTGCTTAGGAGCTTGGCTTTCCAGCTGTGTAGCTTGTTTTTTACAGAGGTCAATAGATACTCAAAAACTTCTTTCTTTGATTTGCCAATTCCCAGTGGAAGACCCAGGTATCTTGTTGACCTATGAGGAATAATTCCATTAAGAGTCCTGCAAATGGCTGATTGAATCTGTTGCTGAGTATTCCTGCTGAAAAAGATGCCAGATTTTTGCCCATTGACAGCTTGGCCTGTGAATAATCGATATTTCTCCAGAATGGTCATAAGAATAGCAGCCTGATCTGAGCTAGCCTTACAGAAGAAAAGTGAGTCATCAACAAATAAAATGTGGGACAGCAGTGGGCCATTTCAATCCTTTCAGTGAACCAGAGTCAATAGCATTCAGAATCAAGGCCGAGAGGAGTTCTGCCATTAATATTTAGTATTTTTTTATATTTTGTTGGCTGAAAATATGAATAATATTTTTTTACATTAAAATATGTAAATAATTATAATAGTAATCATAATATTTTATGTATAATACGGTGGTTTAGTTATTTAAAAAATAAATTCGATATCAAACTGAAATAACTGAGATCTTTTAAAGTACAAACCATAGTTTTTAAACCCGGCCCAGGAATCGACCCGAGAAGGTCTCTAGGTCACCGGGTCACCAGTTCAACTGCCGGGTCACTGGGTCAATTGCTGAACTGGATAATTAATTTATATTTTTTTTATAATTATATATAGAGTACTTTGTCATATAAATATACATAAAAGTAACAAAATTAAATGTTTTGCATATAAAATTTGTACATTAAAGTGTTAATAATATATATTTCATGATAAATATTTACAATATAAATATATATACATAGTTTTATTTTTAAAGCGGCTAATCAATCACACAGACCAATCATTTTGGCTTATTTTGGATTGGAACAACTACTTAAAAAACAGCTGTAATTCGAGTGCACATTTATACTAGGCCGATTGCACGTTAGTGACAGACGTAATGCACTATATAGATCGATCCACATCTGAAATAAAATTTTTGGTATGAATTTTATATTTTTTGATTCAATTAACTATTCGGTAACTTTAAATTTTGGATATTTCAGTTTGATGTCAGATGTATTTACTAAAATAACCAAATCGATCGAAATATATAAGCATGTGTTTAAAATTTACATTAATTTTTGAAGTGCTTGTGTAAACACACTATTGTGCAATTTATTTATCCGTATTGTGCAATCACTAAAATTTTAATAGTTTCATAAAAAATGATAATATTATCTTAATGTGCATATGTACATCCCATAATGTGCAATTTACTCATTAATATAATGTATTTATTAAAGTTTAATAAATTACAAATTGAACCCATGTTCTCAATTGAAAATAGTTAACTTTCTTTAATTTGCATATTAGTCCTCAAGCATTATCAAATTCTAAAAAGGAAGTCCCTCAGCCCCTAAATCACAGTCACCTCTGGCGGCCACATCCTGCCACCTCTCCGCCGCACAGGGCCATCGCCGGCGGAGCACCCCCGCATCACGGTCGCCATTGGAGCTTCCTGCTCTGCCTCCGCGCTGGCACACGCAGCAGAACGCATCTGCTCTCCCACTCCTCCGCCGTTCTCCGGCCACCATCGTCGACGTAGATGCCCTCCGTCGACCACCTCTGTCCGCTAAGGTCTCTCCGCCCAAACGCACCATCTACACGGCGACAAGCACCTTGACGAGATTTGCCAGGAGGCTGCTTCTTGTAAATGGCCAGGGAGGACGACGACAGAAGGCTGGAAACAGCGGCGGAGCTGGTTCCGCCAGTGTTCGTCGAAGGATAAACACGACTTGCCGGCGTGAAGCTTGGACGGAGGCTGGCCGGCGGCTTTCTACGGTGGAATGGGGCATCGTGTTTGTGGAGGACGGCGATGTCCCTGGTGGCGACCGGCGGAGTTGTGTCGGATGTCGGAACCTAGGAGATGCGAGAGCTTTATTAATGGAGATGTGTGTGTATGTGAGAGAGAGATGGAAGATTGGTGGAGTGGAGGTGGGGCCCGCATGTAATGTAAATGCAAATAGGTAATTGCCATTTTAACCTTATTTAATGGTTAAATGTGTACATTTGACCCTAAAATGTATATTTATTTACGAAATCGCCATCAATATTTAACACCAATATTTAAATTTTTACTTAATCTTGGCCATTGATACATTGGATCAAAAGTGTATAATTATTCTCATTTCTTTCACTACCTACCATTCTCATATAATCCTAGCTCTATATTATATATATATATATATATATATATATAGATTTTGAACTTCAGAAGATGAAAATAATGTACAGTAACCAAATATTTAAATTTATTATTAACGATATTTCACATAAATTCATTGTCTTTAAAACTTAAATTTGAAAATTAATACTCAATTACTAAACACCGCACCCATTTTACTAATACCGCACCCTAAAATGACAGTTTTGCCTTTTAATCTTATTTAAAAAAAAAATAATGTCCCACCTTCTAACCTATTTATCGGCCGAACCGAGCACCGAAAAATTCCGAAAACACCTCCAAATAATTCCGGCGAAAAAATGCTATCCAACAAGACCGGTCAAACCGGCCCTAAACCGGTCAAACCGGCCGCACTAGAACCAAAAATTTAATTTTTTTTTTTTTTG